ATCTGTATCAGCAATTGCTAGATAGAGGGAGATGTGGTCTTTCACATTCCGGTCTTTATTTCCACTTGGGTAGAGAATCAGTTTCCTGTTTATATGTTCACAGAAAGAGAACGAAGTTCCCACATGAGATGGACACATTTAGTTGTAAATCATAAGGCAAAATAAAGTGTGTGATTTTGTAGTGAAGAAAAAGAGAAGTAGAAAGCCTTACCATTTGTAGCCTCCAGCCTCAAAATCTCCAGATTCATATTTTTCTACCGAGTTGTTTAGAAGTAATGAGAATAACTGTATCTTGACTATGTAATGAGTTGGTGGGGCATCTGATATAGATCTTGCAACACCTACAATAATACATAATTGTAGCTATATTAATGCCATTATACCATTTAGGAACAGGAAAAAATTAATGAGCATAAAATTAATAGAGTAGAATTTGCATTGGAAAATGAATTGAGAGAGATAGGTACCATCTTGGGTAGTAGATGAACTACTTGCCATGGGAAAAGATTTGATTTGGAATTCTGGATAGACCAGGCCCCCTACTTATAATACAAATCAAAAGGTTGGTATTCCAAACTTTAAAAAGTTTGTTTAAGGATTCGAATTCTCTGTCCTTTTCTTGGAGAGGCTGCTTATGAAAAACTGAAAACGTTAAGGATTCGAACTCTATTTATCCTTTGCTTATGGTAGACTGCTTTTGATCCATGCATTAGCAAAGTATCCATTCTTGGAATAAGCATTAATTCTCTGAGAAATGGTAAAGATAAGTATATGACTTCCACAACTTTACTAATTAAAGATACAGGCTTGTTTTCTTACTAATTAATTAAGGCTATGAACTTTCTATAATTACTAATAAAGGATATGAACTTTTAGGTTTGGTTTAGCTTGACTATGATTTTGAGTTTTTAGTTTTGGTTTTTATATATTTTGCAACTTTAAATAGAAAACTCATTCATTCTCACTTGTTTTTACACTATAATATTATGATTATTAGAGAAATAAGAACAAAAATAATTTTGATACTATTAAACAAGTATATATCTTTAGTCATCAGTGTTAAATTTTGTTTTAAATAGATTTTTTATTTTTGATTTTTAGTTTTGGTTTTTAGTAAATACAAAATTTATAAAAACCAAAACTAACTAAAAACCAAAGAATAAAAACCACAACTATTTTAAAAGGAGCCTTAAATTTTACTAATCAAAGATTAAGTGGACGTCCAAGTTGACATGGCGAAGGAAATCTATTAATAAACCTCATAATTGAAAACTTATTTAAGAACAAATTTTTTGTAATATCTTTTCGTGCAATCTTTTTGTATAACCTTTTTTTACAATCTTTTCATATTATTTTTTTGTATAACCTTTTTTATATTATTTTTTACAACTTTATGTGCCATTTAAATGATTAGCTCTTTTTATTTATTTAAAATTCATGATATTAAATTCATCTATTCATTTAATGATATGTAAAAATTATATTAAAAATAATATAAAAAAATTGTCCTTATATCATTATCCTCATGATTTATGTTAAGAAAATGAGCCTTGCGTGCTAAGTTGGACAATAAATTGATAAATGAAACAAACGAGACTTGTGGGATCCACAAAGATTAAGTTCTTCTCTTTTTTTGGATCCCACAAGTCTCTTGTTTAATTATTTATTAATTTATTGACCAAGTAAGCATAAAAAGGCCATTTTCTTAAGGACAATGATATAAAGACCATTTTTTTATATAATTTTCACATATTATTAAATGAATTGATATACTTAATATTACGGATCCTAAATAAATAAAAAGAGTTAATTATTTATATATATGACATATACGATTGCATAAAAAGGTGTATAAGGAGGTTGCCAACATCAACATAAATTTTTGGTTCCACCAATTGATTTCGTTTGCCACACCAGCTTGGAGAGTTGGACATCCACTCAATGATTAGTGAAACTTAAAGTTCGTATGCTTGATTAGTAAAAGCTCTAAGTTGATATCCTCATAAGTTACTTTTGCAAGTGCATTCCCTTAATTAGTAGGTAAAAAAAGTTCATATCCTTAATTAAAGAAGTTGTGAAAAGTTCGTATATCCATATATATATATATATATATATATTATTTCTCTTCATTCTCTGCTTACAGTTGTCCATAACTACATGCTATAATGAAAGGAAAACTATATCCTTACAATTACAAAGTTCAAATTAAGGCCGCAACCCATGGATGTTATTTCTCGAAATGCATAACATGTGATCACTACAAATAGGTAAACAATTTTATGTAAGCTCTGAGGCTTCACTTATCGCAAACTTTGCAATAGTGAACATAACACACCCAATTACCCATGGTAAGATGGTGACCTTGATTTCTTGGAATTTATACAAAGGCTTGAAACGGAGAAAATAGATCAATGGTTAAATATTTGGATGTGTTTGAATTCACCCTTAATCATCGTTTTTTATAACAGTATTTTTTTTTTTTAATTTAAATGGAGTATAAAAGACACACCTACCCAAAAACTATTACAAAGGTATTGGTCAATACCAGTTGACTTCTTCTAGAACTACATATCGAAGGAAAACATTTCTCATAGAACCTGTCCTGAGATCACCCTTGTTTCTAGTGTCTTCTGCTTGCTTAATCATTGTATATATATATATATTTTTTTTTATTGTAGCTACAAATATATAAATTAGCACATTAATTTCTCACATGCAACTCCAGTTAATCATATTGCGTTAGTAATTCCAAGGACAGTCACCTCTGCTTCCACCACGCAAACATCCTTCACCAAACAACCATTGCCTGGAAGATTGAAATAGCCAAAAGTCACATATTTTGCCCATCCATTCTCCGGACTAGACTCACTGAGCCAGTAACTTACTGCAAAAGAAAGAAATAAGTTTATAACCGTATACATTAAACTTACAAATTTCCATAATTAATTGTATAATTAAACTTAATTATCCCATGAAAAATTAAACTTAATTATGAAATTTACATCCATATCGAAACCAAGTTTGTCATCCATTAAGCAAGTTTCGTTCATGTACAATTCACATCATCATGCTTTATCATGGATTTTTTTTTTCTTACAAAATAAGTGACAAGATTAAGTGGAGTACTTATTGAACTTGAGAGACTCTCAATTTTCAAGTAACTTAATAGTTTCGCTTAAAGACCCACAAATAAATAGTAATTTGGCCATTTTCTTTCCGTGCAAACTAAATAAGACTTGATATTAGTGTTATTAGCTGGATTTTAAAAAAATTAGAAGAAAAACACTTCAAAATTACATATTTTAATAAAGTGTTTTGAAAAAAAAACCAAAACAATATTAATTACTCTTTAAAAATAAGGTTTTTTTTTTTTTTGGTTATTTTTTAATGAGAGTCTACTAACATTACATATAGTTTTAGGGTGCTTTTCCTCTTAATTTTTTGGAGGTCTGGTTAACAAACACTTTTCTTATAAAACTTTTTACCTTTGCCTGAAATGTGCCTGCCCTGCATTTGATCCACCATTCGCAAAGTGAACTCTGCCAATATTTTAGAACTACTAGGGACTGCTATTGGATCTGCCAAAGCCAAATATAGAGAAATATGACTGCCCAATCCATGATGCCTTCCCTTTGGATACATCTGTATCTTCCTATTGAACAAAGCCATTTTGAACTCTGTGAGATTCTATGTATAGGAGTAAAAGGAAGGAAGAAACAAAAACTCTTCATATAAATATCAGGATATCATACCATTTATTATCCCCGGCGAAAAATGTTTGTGAGTCATAGCATTCTAAGTCCATCTTTGAAAAGTTTTCAATCCTCCAAATATGCTTGGAACTGCTGGCATCCTTTATCATCGATAAGGATTCTCCTTTTCCCGTGCTCATCTCCTTGGTAACATACACCTCCGCTCCAAAAACACATGTATCATCCACAGGGTATCCACTGGCGACATCATTGAATGTTCTGAGTGGCAGGAATTGATCGAAGCCCCATTGATTTCTCAATCCACGGAAGCGTCTTTCCTTCTCCGCAGCATCTAGGCATGACAATTATTAGAGATTAATTAATACTGTTCTTGGCAGTAGCAAGACTAGAAGAATATAATACAGATGCATCTTGTAATGAGTAAATTATATGAAGCCAGGGAAACTAAGAAGTTCGAAGGATTAATTGAGATTATACCATGAACGACCAAATAATTGTCCTGGTTCTGATCAAGCAAAAACAATTTGAACTGGCACAGACCTCCGAACTGCGGGAATCTGTATCAGCAATTGCTAGATAGAGAGAGATGTAGTCCTTGACATTCCTACTTTTATTTCCACTTGGGTAGAGAACCAATCTCCTGTATATATATTCACAGAAAGGGAACGAAGTTCCCACTTGAGATGAACACATTTAGTTGTAAAACATAAGGCAAAATAAAGAATAGTGAAGAAAAAGAGAAATAGCAAACCTTACCATTTGTAGCTTCCGGCCTCAAAATCCCCAGATTCATATTTTTCTACCGAGTTTTTCAAAAGCAATGAGAATAACTGTATCTTGACCATGTAATGAGTTGGTGGGCCATCTGATATAGATCTTGCAACAGCAATACCTACAATAATATAGTTGAAGCTATAATGCCATTACAATTTAAGAACGGGAAAATTTTAATGAGCATAAAATTAATAGAGTAGAATTTGCAATGGAAACTGATTTTACAGAGACAAGTACCATCTTGGGTAGTAGAGACAGGATTACTTGCCATGGGAAAAGATTTGATTTGGAATTCTGGATACAGCAGGCTCCCTATTTATATAGATCAAAAGGCTGGTACTCCAAACTTAAAAAATTTGTTTAAGGATTCAAATTCTTTATCCTTTTCTTGGAGAGGCTGCAAATGAATACAAAAAAGATATTAAGGATTCGAACTCTATATATATCCTTTGCTTAGAGTAAACTGCTTTTGGTCTATGCATTAACAAAGTATCCATTCTTTGAATAGGCATTAATTCTGTGAGAAATGGTAAAGATAAGTACATGAATTTCACAACTTTACTAATAAAGGATAAAGACTTTTTTGCTTACCATTTAAGGCTATGAACTTTCTAAAGTTACTAATAAAGGATAGGAACTTTTAGTTTTTACTAATCAAGGATTCAGTGGATGTCCAAGCTGATGTGGCAAATGAAATCTGTTAATGGGGCCCATAATTTATGCTGACATGTTAAGAAAATAAGTCATGCCTGCTAAGTTTGACAATAAATTGACAAATGAAATAAAAGAGACTTGTGGAAGTCACAAAAATTATATTTTTCTATTTTTTGGGGACTTAGGAGTCTCTTGTTTAATTTTTTATCAATTTATTGTCTAAGTCAACATAAAATGCCCATTTTCTTAATACATCAGCATAAATTTTAGGGTACAACTGATTCCTATTGCCACACCAGCTTGAAGACTTGGACATCTACTTAATGATTAGTAAAAACTCAAAGCTCATATCCTAGATTAGTAAAAACTCAGTTTATATCCCTGATAAGTAACTTTTAAATGTACAGTCTTAATTAATAAGTAAAAAAGTTTGTATCTTTAATTAGTAAAATTGTGAAAGTTTGTATCCTTATTAAGCATTGTTTCTCTTCATCCTCCGCTTACCTTATCAATAACTACATTAAAAAAAACTACAGAATTTTTCAACCTCCAAAATAATTATCCTTACAATTACAAAGTTTAAATTTAGGAATGCAACTCATGAGACTATGGTTATGACCACCATTAGATTTATTAAAACTATTAAAATTATCAAATTTTTATTTAAATTTAATTGTTAAAAATAATTGATAGCAGATAAAATAATTAATATTTATTATTTAATATATTAAAATTTGTTTATAAATAAATATTTCTAAATATTATAACCACCTATTTAATAAAAAACTATAAACTAATAAAATTACAATTAGTGACCTTAACAAAATCTTTAATGACAATAACCTCAGCCAACCCATGTACGTTTTTACTCAAAATGCATAACATGATCACTACAAATAGGTAAACAATTTTATGTGAGCTCTTAGGCTTCCCTTATCGCAAACTTTGTAATAGTGAGCATAACATACCCAATTACCCACGTCAAAATATGACTACACTGGTTCCACATGTGAGACCCTAGTATGGCATAAAAATAGTCATTACTTCCAACCAAACAAAACTTTACAATTTCCATTTGATTTCTTGGGATTTATACGAGACTTGAAAATTGAAATGGAGGATTTTTCTTTTAAATTTAAAAAATAGATTAATGGTTAAATATTAAATGTGTTCAAATTCACCCTTAATAATTGTTTTTTTAACAATTAAAAAAAATATTTAAATGAAATATAAGAAACACTCTTACTCATAAATTATTATCAAGATATTGATCAATACCAATTGGTTTCTCCCATAACTAAATACCAAAGGAAAACATTCTCATAGAACCTGTGTGCTGAGAACAACCTTGTCTCTAGTGACTCCAGGTTGCTTAATCATTGTCTTCTTTTTTCTTTTTTCTTTTTTTTTTTTATTGTAGCTACAAATATATAAATTTACACATTAAAATTTCACATGCAACACTATTTAATCATATTGCGTTAGTAACTCCAAGGACAGTCACCTCTGCTTCCACTACGCAAACATCCTTCACCAAACAACCATTGCTTGGTAGATTGAAATAGCTAAAAGTCACATACTTTGCCCATCCATTCTCCGGACTAGACCCACTGAACCAGTAGCTTGCTGCAAAAGACAGGAAAATGTTTACAACCATATACATTAAACTTACAAATTTCCATAATTAATTGCATAATTAAATTAATTATCCAATGAAAAATTAAACTTAATTATGAAATTTATATCTATAATGAGCCAAGTTTTGTCATCCATGAAGCAAGTTTCGTTCACGTACAATTCACATCATCATATGATTAAACATGGATTTATTTTCTCCTTATAAACTTAGTAACCGACAAGATTAAGTGGAGGCACTGAACGTAAGACATTCAACTTTTAAGTTGTTTTCTTTCCGTGCAAATGTATTAATATTTATTAACTGAACCTTCAAAAAATTAGAAAGAAAACACTCTAAAACTATGTATTTATAATAAAAAACTGAAGAAAAAAAAAAAACCAAAACAATCTTAGTTTTACTTTAAAAATATATTATTTTTTTAATGAAATTTATAAACATGTTGTATTAGTTTTGTGGTGTTTTTTCTCCTCATTTTTTGAAGGTCCGGCTAACAAATACTTTTCTTAGACTTTTACCTTTGCCAGAAATATGCCTGCCCTGCACTTGATCCACCACCCGCAAAGTGAAGTCTGCGAATATTTTAGAACTAGTAGGGATTGCTTTTGGATCTGCCAAAGCCAAATATAGAGAAATATGACTGCCCAATCCATGACGCTTTCCCTTTGGATACATCTGTATCTTCCTATTGAACAAAGCCATTTCAACTCTGTGAGCAGTGGCGGAGCCAGGGGGGTGCCGGGGGGGCGCTCGGCCACCCCTGAAATTTGAAAATCTTGTAAATTAATATATGAAAAATTATTTAGCCTCCCCTGAACTTTGAAAATTTTAGTATTTTGCCCCCCTGAAAACAATTTCTGCCTCCGCCCCTGTCTGTGAGATTCTATGTATAGGAGTAAAAGGAAGGGAGAAACAAAGAACTCTACGTATATATACCAGAATACCATACCATTTATTATCCCCGGAGAAAAATGTTTGTGAGTCATAGCATTCTGACTGCTTCGTTGAAAAGCTTTCAATCCTCCAAATATGCTTGGAACTGGTGGCATCCTTTATCATCAGTAAGGATTCTCCTTTCCCTGTGCTCATCTCCTTGGTAACAAACACCTCCGCTCCAAAAACACATGTATCATCCACAAGGAATCCACTGGCGACATCATTGAATGTTCTGAGTGGCAGGAATTGATCGAAGCCCCATTGATTTCTCAATCGACGGAAGCGTCTTTCCTTTTGTGGAGCATCTATGCATGGCAGTTGTTAGAGAAAAATTAATACTGTTCTTGGCAGCAGCAAGTCTAGATGGAAAAAGATGATTCATGTAATGACAAAATTATGAAGCCAGGAAACTAAGAAAAGTTCCGAGGATTAATTGAGAGGATACCACAAACTACCAAGTAATTGTCCTTGTTCTGATCAAGCAAAAACAATCTGAAAATGGCATGGGCCTCCCAATTGCGGTACAGGGACTCTGTATCAGCAATTTCTAAATAGACAGAGATGTGCTCCTTCATATTCTTGCTTTTATTTCCACTTGGATAGAGAACCAGTTTCCTGTATATATATATTCACAGAAAGAGAAAAAGTTCCCACATGAGATGAACACATTTACTTGCAAGGCAAAATAAAGTACGTGATTTTGTAGTGAAGAAAAAGAGAAGTAGAAAACCTTACCATTTGTAGCCTCCGGCCTCAAAATCTCCAGATTCATATTTTTCTACCGAGTTTTTCAAAAGCAATGAGAATAACTGTATCTTGGCCACGTAATGAGTTGGTGGGGCATCTGATATAGATCTTGCAACACCTACAATAATATAATTCTAGTTAATAATACCGTTAACAATCTTTAGGAACAGGAAAAAATAAATGAGCCGAGCATTAAAGTAGAATTTGCAATGGAAAATTATTTTAGAGAGATGGTTACCATCTTGGGTAGTTGAGACAGGAGTACTAGGACTAGCCATGGGAAAATATTTCTCTCGGAATTCTGAGTAGAGCAGGCTTCCCACTTATAACACAGGCCAAGAGGCTGGTATTCCAAACTTAAAAAGTCTATTTAAGGATTCGAATTCTTTATCCTTTTCTTAGAGAGGAGTGCTTTTGAGAAAAAAAAAAAGTTAAGCATACGAACTCTATCCTTTGCTTGGAGAGGACTGCAATATATGCATAAGTAAAGCATTCATTCCCTGAATAAGCATTCATTCCCATTTTGGATTACTACATGCTGAAATGAAAGAAAAACTTAAGATTTTTTCAACCTCCAGAACAATTATCCTTATAATTACAAACTTCAAATTAAGGAATACAACCCATGGAAATGCATAACCTGACCACTACAAATAGGTAAACAATTTTATGTGAGGTCTCACGCTTCACTTATTGCAAATTTAGTAATGGTGAACATACCCATGGCAAGATAGCGACCATATTGTTTCCACGTGTGTGACCCCAGCATGCCTCATCATCTCGAAAAGAGCTTTGCAGTGCTTGCTGATAATTAGAGACAGTCAAATAACTGAATATACAGTTTGTATCACAGTAAGTACAAGCAAGAAAACAGCAGCAAGAAAGGAAATAAGTGCCCATGGAGTGTTGAAGTAATTCTGCCTTAAGTTTGCCTTCCACCAATTCCATGGTTCCTTGTAATGTTCGTTCACTTCCATGAACATCTCTGTGTAATAGAACTCATCTTTGGAGATCAAAAGAGAGTTGCGGAGTCTGTTAAACATGTCAGCAACTACTAAATGATCACCTAAACGATTTTCAATGATTTTCCTATGACAGAGTAATTCAACATCATCTTTGGAGTTGATGAGGCAATCCATGCAAGTAATATAGTCGGTGACTAATTTTGAAGAAATGACATTGTAGCTCTGTTCATAAGCAACTAAATTTCGAAGGAGAGACTCCGTATCACCATTAATTACTAACAGCGGAATCCACATTATCCCCTTGTCAAAATTTATAGCAAACAACCTCGTATCTCTCTCTTCAGTCTTCCTGAACTGGATCCCTGCATCTTGAAGCTGGGTTGCAGAAGGTATGAATTGCCAACTTTTTCTCCCACTTCTTAGGTCAGGGTCATTGATTCCAGTAACGAATCTAACTTCTATCAAACATGCATGAAGTGAAGATGCTGGAGTTCTTGCAGGTGAATTTGCAGCTGCCATAGTATTCCTTTCTTGTGAAGGAAACCAGCTACTATGTAGTAAGCCCAGTAGATGCTTGGTATCTTCCTGACAGGGAAATGAATAAATTCGATTTCCAAGTACTAGCTCCATTTCAGAGATGAAAGTAATAGCCATAGAGATGAAACTTTCTCCTTGATCACTCGGCATCACAGTCATGTTAAACAAGTTCAAGAGTATAAAGAAGGGAAGTTGATTCTCAACTAGCAACAAATCATGCATTACCCTTCTCAAAATAAATGGTGTAAGAAAACGATAGTTTTCATCTCTTAATTCCTTAATCTTCCACTTGCGAATAAGCTCCACAATGAAGCATCCATCAAGAAGCATCATTTTTACAAATGCATCTTTGTCAATATTAATTGATTTTGCATAGTATTCTCGAGTCCTTGCTTCATTACGCTTCAATTCCTCTACATATTGCTGCACAGATTTCTCTTCTCTTCGCTCAAGAAGCATTCTCAGACAATGAATTTTGTACTCCTCCATTGCTTTCAAGTGATCTTTACCATGGTGGTAAGGACCAATCGAAATTATTTGCGGCTCATAGACCTTTTTATCAGCACATTTCTGGAGCAAATGACTTGGTACCTTGACAATACTGTTGCGCCTTAACAAATCTATTGAACTGTCTCGAAGTAATTCATCTATTTGAATGTGAAGCTGCGATTTATCGATTAAAAAATTCATCATACCTGATCATAAAATCATTGGAAAAAATAGAAATAGATCAAGGTTGTTAGTGAACTAGATAAAAAAATATCCGAAGTCCAGAACAAGGTGATACATTAAAGAAGCTATTTTTAGTGTCCTTTTCTTTTCCAGAAGAATAAATATTTGTTTTGAAGGAAAGTATTAGTTAATTTATTTATATTATTATGGACTCTTATTTATATTTACTTACAAAAAAAAATAATAACTATAACATAAGGGCCCAGTACTAGTTTATGCTCAGAGAAGTGTGTTTTCTTTGAATGTAACTGAAGAAGAAGTTAAAAGAATTGTATTTTCAATTCCTAAAGTAAAGTCTCCCGCACAGATGGGTTTTCCTCCGGCTTCTATAAAGCTACATGGGCAATAGTAGGGAAGGATTTAGTGAAAGCAGTTGAGGAATTTTTTCGAAGAGGGAAGCAATTACAAGAGGTGAATGCCACAAATATTACTTTAGTACCAAAGGTTCCGATCCAAATTTTGTTGGTGAATTCAGGCCAATTGCGAACTTGATCTATAAGATAATAGCAACTGGTGAATGATGTTCTTTTTCATTTGCAAGTTTATTGGAGTAGTGTTTACCTATTACCAAGGAAAATATTGGACAAAATTGATACTTATTCTAGGAATTTTATCCGGAAGGGCATATGGGAAAATCATACCATGGCTCTAGTAGCGTGGGATGATACATGTGCTTGCCTAGAAATATATGAAGGGGGCTTAGGTTTGAAGCAGGGCTGAGCATGGAATAAAGCTGCTGTAGAAAAACTCTTATAGGAATTAAGTGCTAAAAAACAATCCTTGTGGGCCAGATGAGTAGATTCTGTCTACATGAAGGGTGTTAGCTTGTGGAATGTGGAGGCCCAAGCAAATTGTTCATGGTACTGGAAAA